CGGCGCCGTGCCGCGCCGGCCGATATGACCGGAATGAAGCTTTTAAATTGCTGTAGCTATATGAGAGTGTTCATATACATACATAATAAGCTTTTTCAGAAGTGTTTGGAACTGAAAATTAAGTTCTTTTTGATTTTGCGTTTTCTCTGTTATTTTTCATCAACAAAACACCGCTGTGAAGGAAAATTTACATAAATAAATTAACTGTTTTTGTTATTTTTTTGGCCTTTATAACAATTATATTCAACAACTTAAATTGAGCTCAAGGCCGGTTTAAATGAAAATTTTTATTGTGGAAAAGCAACAATAATTTGGAAAAATGGTAGAAGTGATAGCTATTTCGGAAATCACCACATTTCCTCATCAGACTTCTTTCAGTAGGATTCGAACCGACGATCCCACTGACTCAGCCAGTTGCCTATGCACCGTGCTAAGTACGCCTTGTAAATTATCGTTTGCTTTTTTCCACTATTTTCATTTTTGTTATGCCAACACAATCAAGCGCAGCTATTCCGCTGCAATTTGTATATGTATGTATATGTAGCAAAGTTAGAGCTGCCCTGCACTCCGCCACACTTCTAGAGGAAGTGCTGTGGGATAGATAGTAGTGCCTTTATCACAGCCCTACTGTTTGTGTATATATATGTATATTTTCTTCTCAAATGGTGTCCACTAAACCAATACCCCATGGAACAGTATCGGCCTGACTAAATATCGCCTGGCAGTAATTTTGACTGATTTTTTTTTCATGCCACTGAAGGCTCTTTTGCCCTCCAATGCAATGCAATGCCCTTCATGCCCCTTCAAATGTTTATAGAACAGAGACTGAGAATGGAACAAAGAAAGTGACACTTGTCATTGGGGAGCTTTTGTTTCCCCAGGGCAAGGAAAATATGTCCCTTTCGACAAAAGATTGCCTATAGGACGGAATTATTCCTTCTCTATTCTGCGCAAACGAATAGATGATTTACTTTGACTCATTTCTGTCAACGAATACGAAGTGATCATTGCTAACCATTTGGATCAACCGAAAACTTATGTTTGGTGGGAAGTCAAACGCGAAGCTAACCTAACCCGAAGTCAGTAAACTCCAACGACTAGACAGCGTGAAAATCAACTAATGACCAGATACACTGTGGTGATCTAAGTGCCTCTAAACATCCGCATTTTGTAACCAAGAAAAAGCATTGATCGTAGTGTTATATTGAGTTAGGAATATAAAACATATTCTGACTACAGGAAAAAAAGAAAAATAAATACATATATAAAATTGTAAGATATTTTATTGAAATCGGTGTCCAAATATAGAATGTGGATTACAAATTTAGATAGTATAAACTTATGTAGTGATCCAGAGCAAGCAAACATTGTAAAAAATTATCTGATATGGATCTAAAAAATTTGTAAAATTCTAAGAATTCTCTCTCAAACTTAAGAAAACAGTGCAGCTCATAATCTGTGAAAAATATAGATGATAGGTACCTGGGCAACCCTAATGGATGTTGTCATGAGTTCATTCAATGTTTGCTCGACGTTTCTAGTTGCATGCGGAAATACATACATATCCCCCGTCTATAAAATTGTAGACTTTCCGAAGCGATGCAAACACTTTTTTTTATTGCTATGATTACACTGTAATGCGAATTTTATTGAATTTCTATGCATGGTAATATGGCAGCAGTGTGACAAATTATTTCCCTTCATCACTTTTTTTTTACAATGACAATAGCGTTTCAGATCGGTCGACAAAGAGACATAGAAAGGGTAAAGAAGGTAGATCAAAAAGGAAGACGAAAAGGTACATTTACTTATCATAAAGGAAGCGTACAGCGACGGTAGTATACGTACATAGTACGTTTCCGTTTTTGTCGCGCGCAGCAGACAAGCAAAATTTTTCAATTGTTCCATTAGGCAAGCCAGTGAACACCGTTTCGCTAAAATTCTCCCGGCGGACGGGAACGCAATTTGTATAATTTAATTTACTCAAAAGCGCTACTTCAGGGACTTAAGAAATGTATGGCATTCATTTCTAAAAATACTCCAGTTGTAGAATTTGCTTGGATTTTAATTCGAATGGAGCACACATTTCATTTAATTTTGTCGCGCCTTTTTAGTTTTGCTTTCGTTTTTGACGTCACTCTAAATGAATTTCCGAAACCGGTCACGTTTTCGCATTAAAATTGAAATTGAATTTTTTTACAATTTTAACTTAACGAAAAATTTTAGAAAAAAATGGCCTTTAATGCGACAATTCGCTTCATTCCTCGTATTCCACTTTCGTTGAGCTTCTTTGAAATTGTTTTTTTTTTTTTGTATGGTTCAGTTGTTTTGTTTTGCTGGTATTACGTAAGCTGTTGCAATTAAAGTGTAATCAACCGTCTGACTAACGATAAGCGCAGTTTTACACATCCACAAGCAATTTTCGAGTACAAATATGTATGTATCTACATACATACGTATCAGCGCTTTATTTTAAGTTTGTATGAATTGTAGGTATGGACTTATGCGTGTGAAATCACTTGGCTGGCATTTATGTATTTAGATTGCCGATTGCCAATAGCGATTATAGCAACGACGAAAAATTGGCGCAATTTAACTCATTCACATGGGAAATTGAAATTCTGCTGTTACGTCCACCTATAATCAAATGTTATAAACCCAACAGGAAAGTCAATGCTAAAGGAAGTATGTAATCCAGGTTTTTGTACTTTTTATGAGTAAAAAAAGTTTTTTTAGAGTTATACGTTACATTGAAGTTTCATAGTAATCATCCTGAGTTTTTACTTTTTAAGTTATTTTATATTGTGATGTGGAGCATTTTGGATTTGGTAGGGCCATATTTATGCAAATACGATCTTATGGCTAAGACCATAACGATAAAAAATTACGACAGTATAAAAACTCGGCAAGGAAAAAAATATCAACGATAAGGAATATATGTATGTAGATAAAATATGAGCAACGAAAAAATATAGAGAACGAAAAAAATATCGACAACGAAAATAGATCGACAAAAAAAAAATTTGTCAGCAACAATAAAATAATATCGACAAGGCAAATATATCGACAACAGAAAAATATCGACTACGGAGAAAATGTCGATCGAACAAAAAAAATATCGACAGTGAGAAAGAATATCGATAGCGTTAAAAAATATCGACGAGCAAAAAAAAATATCGACAATGAGAAAGAATATCGATAGCGTTAAAAAAATATCGAGAACGAAAAAAATATCGACAACGAAAAATATTATCGAGGACAAGAAAATAACACTGACAGAAAATAATAGGACAGGAAAATATATCAACAGAAAAATATCGACAACGAAAAAAATGTCGACAAGGAAAAAAATATCCACTATGACGAAGAATATCGAAAGCGGCAAAAAAATCGACAACGAAAAAAATTAACACGAAAAATATCGACAACGAAAAAAAGTCAACAACAAAACAAAGTAACAAGAAAATAATATTGTCAACGAAAAAATTATGGACAGGAAAAAAATACACAACAAAAAAAATTTCGACAATGAAAAAAAATTTACAACGAAAGAAAAAACTTCCGACAATTCAAAGATTATCGACAACGAAATATGTATGCTTCCGGAGTTTATTGCGGACTCTGCGTGGTGGTAACAGATGGATACCATTGGCCACAGTGCCGTACCCTTTACTTTTTGGCCATATAGATATATTTTTTTATAAATACATGCAAACATACTGGTCTCCCCTCTCACTGAGTTATTCACAATCCCTATTCGCCCTTGCGAATCAAAAATATATATATATTTTTTTATCCTCGAATTTCGTCTGTTTATCTTTATTGTGTCAAAGAAAAGCAATTAAAAAGCCATTTCCGTCCCCATTCGTCCTTATGCAGAAAAAATTTGGTGTTTTTCAATTCTACAGAATTTTTTCTTTGATTTGTTACCCATATTTTGAACTAATCATTCTTTTGAAGTTTCAAAGTCCTTCTTTTATTTGACAAAGATCTTTGATTTGATGTCCATATTGTTATTCTAAGTTGCACTGAATTTCTATACAATTTTTTGAATTGGAAAAGCAGTTTTACTACATTACACCCTAGTTTCGTGAGTAAATTTATTTTTCTGTGTTTTGAATTTTTTGAGGTTTTGTTCGCACGGTGTAACACGAAACCCATCTCTTTTATGGAATTTCAGGAAAAAAATTATGTTCAGCACATCTCGGAAATTTTTCAAGGAAATATTAATGTAGATCTCTTACAAATATTTCAATTTTACAATCTTTCTCGAGAAAAAATGTATGTATATATTTTTCATGAAAAAAAACGCGAGTTCTGCTCACCAATGACTTTCAATTGAGCCAAAATATGTTGGTGAGAGTTATAAAATTTACGCATGAATAAGGAGGGCCCATTTTCATTGTATGGAGCAAGGCAATGTAATGTACACTTTCGTAAACAAATACAGTTTTTTCTTTTACAGACTTTTCTTTTATTGCTTCATTCTGTCTCTAAATGTTTGCAACCGATTCAAAACCTCGCAAAGTAGCGAAGTATCTGTCGCTGCACTTTTTGTGCCTTGAGAATAGAAAAAGCGAAATTGCACGAGCATACAAAGCGCTGTTGGATAAATTAAGCTGAGCCAGTGACACAAAGGATGTTCTTACTCCAGCAAAAGTTGGATTTCCTGCACAAATGTGATAAAAAAAAACAACACTGTTTATTCGATCGCATCATTGCCAAGTTCTGTATTGTCATTGTCATCGGCACATTACTCACAGCAGCCCTTCTGATAAAGGAACTTCAACAAAAGACTTTAAGAAATGAATGATAAACGCTATTGAATGGCTGGAAATTGTAATTAATGGCTACATATCTGCTCCATATGCTAAAGGGCATTAGTCGAAAATTTTTTCTAAGTTACCTACAATCTACATGGCCTTGGTTATGTCTATAAAAATGTGGCTTGGCTGACGCCTTTTTAAAAATAAAAATAAAAAAAAAATTGAAAATATAACTCACCATTAGCATTGGCAGCCGCCTCCTTGCCAGCCGCAGCTGGATTACAATGCAAAATATCCGATAGTGACAACGACGAAGCAATCAACTGACGTTTCTCCTCGAAATTTAAATAGTCCATCGAGTTGCTGCGCTGCGGTGTAACGGTAATCGTAACAGATTTTTGCATTTTAGCAACAACACATAACTGCTGCTGTGGATCCAATTCCTCCACATCCTCCTCACCGCCGACGCCACCCTCAACCATCAACTGTGAATTTGGCATATTTGCGAGATCCTGTGCCTGATAGTGATTTAAAAATTGGAATGGTGAAGCATTCGTTTTATGACCCTCTAGTATGGGAGCGCTGAGGCTGCCGCCGCCCGCAACACCAACACCGCCACCGCCACCACCACCGCCAATTCCGCTATTGCCAGCCGCTATGGCAGCTGAGTATGAGGGTGGCGATGTGACATTTATGGCTTGCGAATTGCTTGCTGCCGCTGATAACTGATAGTTGTTCTCATTGTTGATGGCCGCAACTAGGGTGGCCAAGTTGTTGCGACTGTTGGTAGCGGTGGCAGCAGCATTGATAATTTGTTGTTGTTGCTGCTGCTGCTGATGCTGGTGCTGAAGTTGTTGGTGCTGCTGCTGCTGCGAAACGCTCGGTGGCGATAGTGATAATTGCTGTTGCTGTTGTTGGAATTTGTGTTGTTGCTGCAGC